AAATGTACATGTTTTTACATGACTCATGAGGCGTTTACATGTAAATGAACATGTTTTTACATGACTCATGAGGCGTTTAAATGTAAATGAACATGTTTTTACATGATTCATGAGGCGTTTAAATGTACATGTTTTTACATGACTCATGAGGCGTTTACATGTAAATGAACATGTTTTTACATGATTCATGAGGCGTTTACATGTAAATGAACATGTTTTTACATGATTCATGAGGCGTTTAAATGTAAATGTACATGTTTTTACATGATTCATGAGGCGTTTAAATGTAAATGTACATGTTTTTACATGATTTATGAGGCATTTACATGTAAATGAACATGTTTTTACATGATTTATGAGGCATTTACATGTAAATGAACATGTTTTTACATGATTTATGAGGCGTTTACATGCAAATGTACATGTTTTTACATGATTTATGAGGCAGCTGTTTGGACCAAACGGCCTCCGTGCTGTGAGGCTAACTAACTGTTCTGGTTCACAAACAGTTGTTTCACCTGTCAAACCAAAAGTTATTCTTCTATAATCTGGTTTAAATCATCCAAGAACAATAATCCCAACATCACTTTTAGTCAAGTTCACCAGCCCAGGAAGCGGTGTGTAAGCACTTCCTGTTTCGAACAAGCAGTGTTCCCCCACATTTATACAAGGAGGGCGCCCCGCCCTGTCAACAGAACCGAGCGGCCCGCCCTGTCAAACAGCCAGCACCGATGTAGCGCTAAGCTAGCAGCATGCAACACAGACATACTAGCTAAAAGCTACAGAGGTAGCGCTCCGTCTCCCTCACGCTGTCGTTTCCAACCCCACAACAAACTAGGCACGACACAGACGTGCCTCCATCTTTGGCGGGTACGAACTGGAGGTACGAACTGACCATCACTGTCATGAAACACACGGACGTTAGTCTCATCCTCCCTGCTCTGAAACATGAGAAAGCAAAGCAAGAAACAAACAACAACAACATAGATCCAGTCCCACACAGGCTGATGCCTGCAGCCTAAATTGGACTAATAAACATTCCAGTGTTATTGCTGCCCCCCCCCCCCCACACACACACACAGAAGGTACCAGCATTCATCGTTACCACCCAGAGTTTACATGTGGTCCAAACCAGACACATTGAGAAGCTCCTGTTTACTTTCCAGAGGGGCTGCATGTTGCACTGATTCAGATCAGTGTACCCCCCCCCCCCCCCCCCCCCCCCCCC